GAAGAGCAAGTAGAGGAGGTGCCACGAGAGGAGGTGCCACAGGAAGAGATACCGCGAGAGGAGGTGCCACAGGAGGAGGTGCCACGGGAAGAGGTCCAGGGTACTCAGCGAGAGAGAGGGCTGGGCGATGAGGGGAGACGTGCAGGAAAGGAAGTGATAGAGGTTGGAGAGGACACGCCCCCACAGGCGCCAGCAATGGGTTTGAGACCCGAGGATACACCAGGGAGCACCCGGCAGGCAGAGGAGAGATTGCAGAGAAAGGAGGCCCCTTTACCTTCGTCGGAAAAGGCTCCTTCGCCAAAAGGGACGGCAGAAAGGAGGAGAGAGAGGGCAGTTGTAGGGAGAGAAGCCTTGACCTTGATTGATAGGCACCTAGCAGCTTATGCCCTGGAGCATCCAGACCTGGAGGAGCCAACACCTGCTGAGCTGCGCCGGGAGCCGTGCCAACCTGAGAAGGAGATGGAAGCAGAAATCCCGAAGAGGGTCGACCTCCGCACGAGGGAAAGGGCGCCAGCTGGAGAAACGGCTGAAGAAAAGAGGGCGAGAAGAACAAGATGGATAGATGAGATATGGCAAGAGAGGCAGAGATTGGAGGCGACGAGGGAGGTCCCGGAACAGCAACAGGAGAGGCAGAGATCAAAGGCAGCAGGAGCACTCCTGGGTCAGCCACCCAGCGTACCCGCTAGGGCCTCAGAGATCCCTGAGATGTGGAGGGACTTCTGGGAGCAGAGAGGAGAGGAGCTTCCATCGCCAGTCAGAGCCGGGTTTGGGGTGGCCAGGAAGGCGGAAGAAAGGTTAGATCGTAAAATCAAGTTCCTAGCCAAGACCACTTTTGACCGGCACTTGTTATTGGAGGGCGATCTGGCGGGGAAGAAAATGAAGGAAGCCAGCCATGGAGTACGTCTGGAGGCTATGGAGATGGAAATTCAGGAACTTAGGGCTTTGGTGGCCAGCCAGGCAGCTATCATCGAGAGCCTGAGGCAGCAAACCCAGGGAAGGGTGGATAGACCAGAGAGCAGCAGGCAGGGAGAGCAGAGGCAGCCGGGACAGGGATTGCCAGGACAGGCAGCTGTAGCGGAGCCTCGCCAGGAGCCACCTATGGGGAGAGCTATCCTGGAGCCAGAGGAGGCGAGAGCCCAGAGACAGGCAGAGAGAGAGGCGTTCGAGTTTAAAGCCCCTACTGAGCTTGCGACGCTGCCAGTAGCGGCGGCAGGCCCAGTCGTACCTTTGGCAGTAGAGGAGGGGCCGCCACCATCTAGCAGTGAGCCGGCTCAGGGCTCAGCAGAGGGATCCATGGGCGTGCTCCTTGAGACGGTGCATGATATGCAGGAGGAGGTGAGTTTGTTTTCACCTGAGCAGAGGATGGAGGAGCCTCTTGAGAGAGAGATGGGGATTAAGGCAGAGGGTGCTGTAGAGAGCAGACTTCAGAGGATGGACACTCCTGAGTATGGACCAGAGGAGATTGAGGAGCAACCCACGACAGTGCCAAGAGGGACACTCGAGAGGAGACCTCAGAGGATGGACGCTCCTGAGTACGTCCCAGCGACAGAGGATTTGAGAGGCAGACTAGGACCTTGGGCTACTGGATCTGGGTCTGGGGGACYWGTTCCTGGGACAGAGCAGCAGGAGGTCGTTAGTACCGCAGCTCCTCGATCAGGGCAGCAGGAGGTGGTCAGTACCTTGGTAGGATCTCCTTCATCGCCACCTCCTCAGCCCAGRRAAAAGAAGTTCAAGAGGAAGGTAGATCAAYTATGTTTCTACTGCAAGAGGGACGCGCATCATGCTCTGGACTGTCTCGAGTTTCTTGAGGATAAGGCAGCAGGGAAGGTCTCAGAGGTAGGAGGTAAAATGTATGATAGACAGGGTAAGATAGTTGAGAAGTCCGCAGATGGACTAAGGGCTCAGTTATATAGGCAAAACCAGGAGGAGTTGAGGAGATAGCGCCAGTTTGCCTATGTAAGTGGGCGAGTATCTTGTGAGGCATCAACTTAGGTTCTGTGTAATACCCTCTTAGACTTAGAGGACCTTTGTGTTGATTGCTATAAGTCTAGACCTGAACTCTAGTGTTCCTACTGAGTGGGATCTTGAGGTTTAGGGTGATTTAGATGAGGCATGTACATATTTAGCTGGCCTGCGCACAGGTTTTTGAGAGACAGATCTGACATGTATTATAGGGGTTGTCGTCAGTATGGGTTTGGTGTGGCTTGAGTTGAGTGAGCTACGATTTAGAAACAGTTTTTTGTGTAAGGCATTTTTTTTCCCTGAGTATATATTATGATGAGGCTTTATTTCAGGGACCATTCATATATATGACGATCACTTGTCACTCTCACGTGTATGGTTGTACTCTGATGTATGATGAGTTTTGTGTGAACAATGTACGAAAAACATCTTATTTTGCTATAGGTACTGTGAGTATGATTGTAAGTAAAACTGTCTACTCCTCGGTATACTTGTGCGATCTGCCTACGGCAGCTGATAAGACAGAGTATAAGAGGAGGAAGCGCAGTCTGTCTGTGAAAGTTATCTAAATTGTGATGAGGACCCATAAAATGGTCTCTCAGTGATGTTCTGTTTTATGATGGGACCTCCTTAGATTTTGAAAAAAAAACGGGGATGTTTTATGATGTTTTGTGATGTAACGAAAACCCCCGTGACTTTGAGAGAGGGGGTGTTTGGTTTATGATGAGACCCTCGTGGTTTCTGGAAGAGGGAATGTATTGTTTTATGGCGAGACCCCTCGCGATTTTTTGGAAGAGGGGGTGTTTTATTTATAAAGAGAGCCCCTTTTGGATTGTTGGAAAAGGGGAGTGGTTTTTGTTGGAAGACTCACCCTCAGAGGCGAGTAAATTGATTTGTGGCATGGTGAGTTGTTTGATGGGTGATAAAGTCTGACGAAAAGAGTCACTTTTGTTTGAAATGTTTGAGAAAGTCGCAATGAGTGCAGGGCAAGAGATGTCTCAAAGTGGGTGGCAGCTGGCTCTGATCAAGTCAGGGGTCACGGCCTGGTAGACCTAGCGGTGATTTTGTTTGTGAGCGTGCGAAGGATGTCAGGCCTATTGTGGAAGGGATGGTAACTGCCTTCAGACCCCTGCGTGATCACGCAGTGGGCCAGTGATTTTGTTTTGCGACGCCCCGCCTAACCACCTGTGCTAGTTCTGGGACATTTGAAGAAAGACCAAGCTAACGGAAAAGAAGTTAGTACCTCTAGGGCGTAACCCCATTGGATGGCTGCTAGCCGGCGCAACCTGGCTGCGGGACCGCGAGGTAAGAGTTTAAGGGAGGTTGCCCGCCCCAGTGAAATTACTCCGCGGGATAATGATGGTTGAAAACTTTTGGGGGGAAATCCTGATTGAGTGCTTACCAGTAAGTAACCTATCGTTGCGTAACCAACGAAGGTACTGCCGTTAAATAACAATGTGGTGGGCCGTGGTCCTGGTCCGATCAGCCAGGCTATGGTGGGCCAAGGTGGAGACCTAGCCTTTCTGTACTAGACTGCAGAAAGAGTTGAGCGAATATTAAGTATACATATATACTTGCGTGTATTAGATTGCGAGAAATTTTTTAGAAGGACGGCGAGAGTGCCTTCAAAAGGTCTCGATTAAGGCCCGCGTCCCTAGTTTTTGCCAGGACTAGGGACACCCAACGAAAAGCCGAAGGTTGTCTAGGACCGGGGAGAGGACGATTGGGAAGGTCTTTGGAACTTATGCTGCCAATATCCTAATTTCTGGACGGTGTGAGGCCCAGGTTAGAAACCTGGCAGCATATAATTGTGAAGACATGGTTTGATGGAGGCCTCTACCCTGTGTTTGTCGGCTAATCGGATTGGCTCTTGTTTCGTCAGCATTTGGAATATGGATGGATTTATAGCTTTCTGATTTGGCGAAGCGACGGGGACGTCGCTTAATATGGTCCGGTAAGCGCTGTCGGTGCAAATACCCTTACAAGGGTATCCGCCCTGGTTTTGCAAGTGACAGAAAATAGTTTTAATCTAGAGTTTAAGTATATCGCGCTAGGCGCGGCCGCGTCTGTAATTTACGTTGACAGGATGCTTGACTAGCGTAGAGAGTGTGTGGGCGCGAAGGTTTAAGGCGCACGTGATTCCTTTCTGTTGTTGATCATCGGTCGTTTGTTTAATGGTATTATTAATATCTATTTATATTTGATTAAGCAGAAACCAAGGATATTTTCGGTTGATTGGTACGCTTGATTGAGGCGAGCGCGCGTGCGGGGAAACGACCCCGACAACGGCATCGACGATAGTATGACTTTTGAAGGTGTCCCGGTGGCTTGGCGCGTTGCGCGGCGGCCGTTTATTTAGGCGTCCGTCAGGGCCGAACCCAGACTCGGGCCTGGTATTAGCGGTTACGACATCGGACTTCTATTTGGGAGATTCAGGGATCGAGATCGAGCGGCGGCGAC